TGGCAAAGAAACCAGGTACTTAGGTTTTCCTCTCAGCATGTTTTCTCTCTAGCCCCTTATCTAGGACGTTAAATCACAATCAGACAATGAGAAACATAACTATCAATGGAAAACTATTTAACAGAAAACTATGTAACTGGTAATGGTAATAAGTATACCCATTGCCGCATGAGAATACCCACTGAGGTCTTGGTCAACGGGATGCATATATTATGTCGGTCCCCTATGGTTATAACAACGCTGAAAAACTCTTACTGCCTAGTGACATCATAGCGGTCTGTGCTTGTGGTGACGCTGCTGTAAGGCAACCTACCGCACTGCCAGTGTATGAAAGTATAGCACATACAGTTAAGTACAGTCCATGATACTTGATAATGATACTAAATGACTTTGTTACTGGTTTATGTATTTACTGTTTTATCGTTATTTTACATTGTACTACTACTTATTAAAAAAAAAAGTTATCGCCGAAACCATGCATTTCTCAGAACATAATCTCTTCATTAAGGGCCCATGACTGTATGCGCATCCTCCGGCTTTGCTTCTGCTTTCCACTCAGGCATAGCTTGGAGGAAAAATAACCAGAAGGAACAAAGCTGGGGAGCTACTTACAAGACTTGGCCTTTAATAGAGTGTAGAATTTGGGGGAGACGTTAAAAAAGACTTGTAAGCCGGGCACGGTGGCTCACACCTGTAATCCCAGCACTCTGGCAGGCCGAGGCGGGAGAATCGCTTGAGGCCGGGAGTTCGAGACCAGCCTGGGCAACATGGTGAAACCCCGTCTCTACTAAAAATAGAAAAATCAGCCGGGCGTGGTGGAGGGCGCCTGTAACCCCAGCTACTTGTTTGGCGGAGGCGGAGGGTGCAGTGAGCCGAGATGGCACCACTGTACTCCAGCCTGGGCGACAGACACAGTCTCCAAAGTAAAAAAAAAAAAAAAAAGAAAAGAAAAGAAAAAAGAAAGACTCAAATAAACGGAAAGACATACGAGAATCAGAAGATTTCCTATCATAAAGATGTACCCAAACTGATGCATTCTTAGGGGTGGCCAAGAGACAAGAGATGGAAGGAGGCTCTGGGCCCACAGGAAGGAGCGAAGATGAAAGAAAATCTCTCACCTCAGCATCGCTCCGCACCAACCTGAAAGCGCTGGTGAAGGAATACTCTCGGCTGGCATTTCATTACAAAAACCCAGTCATCCACAGCACGAGATCTCCCTTGGTGGATTCAAATTGATGAGGAAAGAAAAGAGCTCCTGCTTCTCCTCCCAACCCCCAAAAGAGATCCCGTAAGCACCGCTGCCAAGAAAATAAAACTGTCCTCAGGGAATACGACAGGACCGCGCTGCCGACAAGTCTTGGCGGCCTCACCCGGACAAGAGCAATCTTCCCGGTCTCCTCAAGCGAAAGAGGCTGCTCCCTCCCGCACCTTCAAGCACCGCCCGGCAGCCGGCCTCACACCTCCGAGTTCGCGGTGGCGCCTCCCGAGAGAGCGCTTTATGCCGAAGCCCTGTTTCTCAGTCCGCTTTCCACTTCCAAGTTTTGCCTCTTGGGCCCCTTTTCTCCCTTGCTTTACCTCAGGAAAGAGAAAGACAGAGGCTAATCGAATGAAATTCCTCACCGAATTCACAGCGTCTTGAAGCTGCGTGAGCCGATCCGCCATGTTCCTCCTGCAGCAAACAGACGCCAAAACAGCTGCTCTTCCGCGACTGGGCAGCTCTGGTACGCGTCATGGCCAATCCCAGCGCTGCCTTCTTGGAAGGGGTGGGGTCGGAGAAAACTCCCCGCCCCGTCATGAGTGGGTGGTACTGCCGAGGCGGCGTTAGAGCGGGCTACACCTCAGGAGAGGCTGCATCTTTTGAGTAACTGGGGAATGGTCTGGGGTCCATCGCTTTGAGGGGCTGAAATACTCTCTTTGAGGTTGTTAGGTGTTAAAGGCTTCAGAGATTGTTGGATTCAGCGGGGATTTTTTTTTTTAGTGATTTCTCCTATCCTCTCGTGTGTTTACTTATTGACTACATTGAAGAGTAGATATATTTATTTATTTATTTTTGAGACGGAGTCTGGCTCTGTCGCCTAGGCTGGAGTGCAGTGGCGTGATCTTGGCTCACTGCCAGCTCCGCCTCCCGGGTTCACGCCATTGTCCTGCCTCAGCCTCCCGAGTAGCTGGGATTATAAGCGCCCGCCACCACGCCCGGCTAAATTTTTTTTTTTTTTTTTTTGTAGTAGAGACGGGGTTTCACCATGTTAGCCAGGATGGTCTCCGTCGCCTGACCTCGTGATCCGCCCTCCTTGGCCTCCCAAAGTGCTGTGATTACAGGCATGAGCCACCGCGCCCGGCCAAGAAAAATCAGCTGCACAATTTAGATTTAGAGTTGGGACTTATTGAGAGCTTAAGTGTGAAGAGTGATAATAGAAACTTGGTATTTAAGGAAATTTAGCCTGAGGATAGTCTGGTAAGAAATGAGTTTGGAGTCGGCAAATAACAGGTTTGGAGACATCAAACAAACTCTCATATCCTCTTTCTCAGGCTGATTATCCGTGATTACCTTCCTGCGGCTGCGGGGTAGGTGGTGGACACAGTCCCCGGGGAACTCGGCTTGCTGGATTTATCCCAACCCTTGATGGGAAGCACCACTTCTGCTTCACACCCATGCTTCACACCCATGCCCCACCCTCATCCCCAGTCTACAGACTTACTGGGGCCTCATTAAGAACGTGAATGAGGCATGTTCCCTATAATGGGACTAATGAGAAATCACTCTATAATTTGTTCTAACTGTAACTTGGGGGGAATCTACAACCTTCTCCTCCCACCTTCACTTGAGCGTGTACCTTACTGAATGCCTGCCACATGCCAGGAAGTATATCCAGTGCTCAGTGTGCAAAGATGAATAAGCCAAGGACTCACCAAGAGGAAGGTTTTGCAGTTGTCCAAGATTAAGGTGAGCTGCGCCTAGAATAGGGTGTTGACCCTGATAAGAGAGGAAAAAAAGACTAAAATATATTTTTGAGAAAAAAAATTAATACAGATTGGTGACTGATTGAATACAGTTTAGTCCACTCCGTAAGAATACTAAGTTTTGCAGCGTGATTGAAGGGAACTTGGGCACTTGAAGTAGAGAAGTCACTTCAAGACAACTCATATTGTGACACAGTTTTTGTCCTGCCACTATCTTCCTAGTAGGTCTTCCGTGCCTCCACAGAGACCTCAGGTTGATGTCCAACTATCTCTGCCTAGTTGTCAAGATTTACTATAATCTGGCTCCAGCAAACAGACCCAGCCTCACCTCTTGATAATTTTCTGAGTGAAATAATCCTCTGTTTCAGCCAAGGGCCCTGACCCCTTGGTTTTCCTGGTTCTTCAGCCTCTTTTGGCCACGGATCTTTTTAAGAATCAGATAAAAGCTGTGGACCCTTTCCCCAGACCAGACTCTCAACTTATCCTACATTTGAAAAGGGGTTTATGAAGCTCTTGAAGCCGTAGACTTCAGCAATAACCCACCTGCCAAATATAGTCTGTGCATCTAGCTCAGGATTTCTCAATGGCCGCACTCTTGACTTTTTAGGCTAGATTATTCTTTGTTGTGGGATGCTGACCTGTGCATTGTAGGATGTTTAGAAGCATCCCTGTTCTCTACCCCTGAGATGCCAGCAGCATTCCCCCAATCCATTTATGACAACATAAAGTATCTCCAGATAGTCCCAAATGTCCCTGGGAGGCAAAATTGCCCCCAATTGAGAACCACTAGTCTAGCTGTTTCCTCATTCTTTACCTTTCCCACAGCAATTTCTTTCCTGCTATTTAATCCTTACCCTACCTTTTTAAGTTTTGCACTTCTCATATAAATTTTATGAATTGCAAGAGTCCATAGGGACCTCTCCTTTCTTCCTTTCATGATTTGGACACTTTCTCATATGCTTTTTCATTTGCTTCTCTGGCATCGCCAACTGGATTATATGGTTTTAGGAGCAGGAACCCAGTATTACAGATCTCATAGTTTAAACACACAATTTTGGTGAATACTTTCTTTGAAACTTTATATTATTAAAGGTTTCAAAGATACAGAAGAGTAGAGAATATAGTGAACCCTCACATAACCTTCACCAGCCTCAGCAGTGAGCCACTCAATAGTCAATCTTGTAAGTGCTTTGGTTTTTATGACTGTAGCAACTATTTTTTCAGAAAAACACCTTTAACAATTTTTAAATACCTTTAATACAGTTGCAATTTATTAAACATCTAAAATGTTCCTTGTGCCGGGATGAATAACTATAAATAAGCATTTTTCTACACCACACTCCTTGAAATTCCCTAAACATGTTCTGCTGTTTTACAAAAATGCACACCATATAAAAACACCTATAATTCTTTCTTCCATGTATGAAATGCCCACACTTCCATCCACATCTCCACTTTGCTCCCTTGGTGATTGTCTACACAGTCCTAAAACCTTATTTTATTATTTATTTACTTATTTGAGACAGAATCTCACTCTGTCACCCAGGCTGGAATGCAGTGGTGGGATCTCGGCTCACTGCAACCTCTGCCCCCAGGGTTCTAGTGATTCTTCTACCTCAGCCTCCAGAGTAGCTGGGATTACAGGCGCCCACCACCACACCTGGGTAAGTTTTTTGTATTTGTAGTAGAGACGGGGTTTCGCTATGTTGGCCAAGCTGGTCTTGAACTCCTACCTGAGGTGACCGACCTGCCTTGGCCTCCCGAAGTGCTAGGATTACAGGCGTTGAGCCACTGTGCCCGGCCTATTATTATTTTTTTACTCACCACTATACTAGTGAACAAAATCTTATTTTAAACATATCTTTATAAAAGCCTTTCCTGAATTCTGAAAGTAAGTTAAATGCTCCCAATCTTTAACACAATTGTTCCTTACACTTCTGTTATTGCACTTAGCACACTGAGGTATAATTATTTGTACCTCACGATAATTCACCCACCAGTCCACGGGCTACTTGCAGGCAGAAAACATATCCTGTTTCCATATTTCCAGTACCTAGCACCTAACATTTAGCCTGGCACATATTTATCAACCAAATGAATGAGTTTCCTAGCATAATAATTTCCATATAATAGCTACTAAATAAGCATTTATTGAATTTAACTTAATGAACAGTCAAATAATGTAAATCACTACCCACAAAAGAGCACACGAATTAAAAAATACAGGATGAAGGTGAGATTAGAGTGGGAAAGAACGAACAGGCAAATTTCACAGAGGTTCAATCCTGCATTTTCCCTGGATCCCCGCTCCCAGCTCCATTTAAGGTATCTTAGGTTTTATTTTAAAATCTAGGGTAAGTTTTTTCCCTTCCTCCTTCTCCCCCTCCTGCCCTTCCTTCCTTTTCTAAATTTTAACAGACTTTTGTTTTATTAGATACAGAGTCTTGCTCTGTCACCCAGGCTGGAGTACAGTGGCATGATCATGACTTGCTGCAAACTCAAACTCCTAGGCTCAAACAATTCTCCTGCCTCAGCTGCTTGAGTATCTAGGACTACAGATGTGCCCACCACGCCCAGCTAATTTTTTTTTCTGTGTTTTTTTTTTTTTTTTTTTTGGTAAGAATGGGGATCTCACTATGTCGTCCAGGCTGGTCTTGAACTCCTGGACTCCATAGATCCTCCTGTCTCGGCCTGCTAAAGTACTGGGATTACAGGCATGAGCCACTGAGTCTGGCCTAAACAGACTTTAAGGCTCTAGTAATGCGTATCTTGGATTTGGGAATCTTTTCAGTTTCTGCATTTCCTTTCAATACATAGGAAAAATGAACTCATCTGCAAAGTTGCTAAGCTTGTTTGCTTCTCAGCTCTCCAATGGAACTCTGACATGAGCATGGAACCCCAGCCAATCATCCTCCCAAGCTGTCACAATACCGTACTTAGAAGCCAAGGTAATGAGGCCCTGTTCTGGTTGCTGACACATCTGTGATCAGCTGTCATGCATGTACAGGCAACTGCAGGCCTGGGGAACTGCGATGCAAAGGTATGGAGGAGAGAGAATAGGCTCAGTTCAGGAAATTGAAATTAATTCAACGTGACCCGCATGTAGAGGTCTGATTTTAGTTGCAGCAAGAACCTAGGGAAATGAACAGGAGTTGCATCACAAAAAGCATTTATGTGTCATACTCAAGAAGATGTACTTATATCTTGAATGCTTTCACAAGAAAACCTTTAAAATTATATGTATCTTTTACAAAATCATAATTTCTTATTCAAAAATGATACACTTCAATGTAGAATTTTTACACAGAAATGTGCAAAGAAAATCATTCTTAACCACCTAAAGATAACTATTTTAAACATTTTGGCATGTATTTTTCAACCTTTTTTTCTATGCACATAACCAGGAATGCATACTACAAAGAAAACAAGGCAGGCACAGTGGTTATGAGCCTGCAGTCCCAGTTAGTCTGAAGGCTGAGGTGGCAGGATTGCTTGAGTCTGGTGACAGAGCAGGAGCACCGTCATCTTGGACAAACACCGCCACTTTAAGTTCCAGCTCCCTTTCTAGCCTCATGCATTTCAAGGAAATCACTTCTCTTCTAACTATAAGCAGCCAGAAAGAGGAGACAGTAAAACACAGATAAGACAGCTCAGGCACAAAGGGAGGTGAGGGGAAAGTCTCTTGGGTAACTGCCAAACTTCACCCCCATACAATGGACCCCAGTAAAACAGTGGGCCTTAATAAGTACATTCCGTTCCCTTCAGATGCACTAAGATAGGGAAGGTAAAAGCAGACTCAGGGATATGCCTGCAGCTGCAAAAAGATGTATGGGAACAGACACACAACTCTCCCTCCCAGATAAGCACAACAGACACAGAAGCAGTCTAAGCCTCTGATAAACACTCCCACCCTAAATCCTTAAAAACTCTTAGTCCATAAGAGAGTGTGCCTCTAACCTAACTGTCCAGAAGCCCCTCTCAGGTTTGTTTTCTCTACAATAAACCCATCCTTGACTTCTAAGTCACCTTTCCTGTTTTTTTCTCTTTCTTTAATTCTTACATCTGGGAGTTTGAGGCCAGCCTGGGTAACATAGTGAGATCTTGTCTTTTAAAAAAAATTACAGGCCGGGTGTGGTGGCTTGTAATCCCAGCACTTTGGGAGGCCAAGGCAGGCAGATCACAAGGTCAGGAGTTCGAGACCAG